GGGCTTAATGATCAGTTGAGGGGCGCTAATATGGTGATTTTAGGTGATTTTTAACTAATTGACCGTGATTTTTGGGTGAGCGACTGGGGGGGGACACGAGCAATTTTTTTGGGGGGTACTGCACCCTCCCCCATGCCATCCCCTACATACGCCACTGGCTACAACCAGCAGTCTGATTATAATATATAAAACAAGGTGACTGGCTTGACATAATTGCATCTTATAATAATTATGAAAAAATATAAAATACATTATTATTATCGATATCACAAGAAGAATATCACATCCCTACTTTCATTTACAGTATACACAGCATATGGGTTGTAATGTATGTTTCAACAACACTGATTCCCATTATGTTTTGCTTTCTTTGTATTCTTATCTGATGGAGCCAGTTCTGCTTTTCTTTTGATCATCGTATTATTTTCCATATTATTATTTTCTATCTTATTATTTTCTATTTCTTCATCTGAGCTGCTACTATCAGAGAATGAATCATCTTGCAAATTATCCTGTGGTTCCTTGTTCTCACTTGATGTTGCAACACAATTCTAAAAGAAACAAACAATGGTTGGAATCCACTATTAAAAAACACGAGTTTGTCAGAATATGAAGTGGCCTTTTTTTATAAATATTTTTTAGCACATTATGCTATGACATTAAAATGTACATATGAGCTCTTAATCATTTTAATAGTCTAAAATATGATATTCTGTAATATGTAAATGAGGTTACACATACATTAAAACAAATTGCATAGGGTGTTAAAGGCCACATTAAAACAAACTGCATAGAGTGTTTAGAGACTATATTATATCAAACTTTATAGGGTGTTAGAGGCTATATTAAAACAAACTGCATAGGAACCAGTATTAGAGACTATATTAAAACAAACCTTTATTATATCAAACTTCATAGGGTGTTAGAGGCTATATTAAAACCAACTGCATAGGGTATTAGAGGCTATATTAAAACAAACTGCATAGGGACTGGTATTAGAGACTATAGATTAAAACAGTGTTAGAGGCTACATTAAAACGAACTATATAGGGAGAGGTTATATTAAAACAAACTTCATAGGGTATAAGAGACTATATTGAAACAAACTTTATAAGGTGTTAGAGGCTATATTGAAACAAACTACATAGGGACTGGTAATAGAGACTATATTAAAACAAACCTTAAAGGTTTAAGAGGCTACACTAAAACAAACTTCATAGGGAGAGGCTATATTAAAACCAACTTCATAGGGTGTTAGAGGCTATAATAAAACAAACTTCATAGGGTGTTTGAGACTATATAAGGGCAAATAGAAAAATTTATTAGATTATCACTCCCGCCCACATCAAAAATTCTGGAAATATTGATGCGGGAATAAAAAAAAAAAAAAATTTGCCACATCAATTATTTCAACAGCATAAAACAATGCAATTTTGTGACTTCAAATACATTTTCTTAAAAAAACTATAAAATTAAAAGACTTTTTATACAATATTTACTATTATTAGTCATATATAAACAGTCCTTCCCTCAATAAAAACAGGAAGCAAAATAATCTATTGTTCCAATAAAAAAAACCAAAAAAAAAACTGCCCTCCCTCATCGATTTTTTTATTAAAAAAAAGAGGGATAATCTAATAATTTTTTCTATTTGCCCTTTATATATAGTCTCAAACACCCTATTAACGCTCTATTAGTTCGTATTAGACTGGCCGCGTAGTCAAAACGAAAATTGTCTATTAAAACCTGCACAGAGTGCTAAAGGCTATATTTAAACAAATAGGGTGTTAGAGCCTATATTAAAACAAATTTCATACGGTGTTAGAGGCTATATTAAAACAAACTTTATAGGGTACTTATATTAAAAAAAACTGCATCTGGTGTTGGAGGCTATATTAAAACAAACTGCATAGGGTGTTAGAGGCTATATGAAAACAAACTGCACATGGTGCTAGAGGCTATATTAAAACAAACTGCATACAGTATGGTGTTAGAGGCTATATTAAAACAAACTTCATAGAGTATTAGAGGCTATTAAAACAAAATTCATAGAGCACCTATATTAAAACAAACTGCATAGGGTGTTGGAGGCTATATTGAAAGCAGAGCCTTGCAGGCGTCAACGTTCCTATGAATGATACATGACTTAAAAAGTATATAGGCCCTATATATATATATATATACGTGTATATATA